TCTTTACAGTAGAAATTTTATTGAAAAAAGTGACCTCACTTTTATAAAGGTATGGATGGAAACATTTCTGAAGGTTACTGGCAGTAATGTATGATTGAATAAATGTATCCATAGTATTTAAATTTGATAAATGTTAAAGCTTAATGTATTAACGTTGCACAAAAATACAGACTGAGTCAGCAGTCATCCTTGCGATAGAACAATTTTCTAAAAGTTGAAAAACTGAACGAACAGATAAACGCTACCCACTTCGTAAGACAAGAAAGTATGAAGTAAAATGCAAATTATAGGAGAAATATTAGCGTCGTGTTCTTCCAGGAGTCAGCATTTGCGAATGAATGTGAAAAAAGTACATAAAAAATATTGTTTTAGTATTCAGGTCCTATTTGTTGTCTCGCCTCCGACGAAAGTCCCAGAATGCGAGGCGTAGGGATTACAATCCGTCGACGGCGTAAACTATTTGTATAAAGCTTAATATTTCAGAAGGTAGAAGACCTTGATGCTTCATACCTTGTATCCAGGTGCCTTGATCTCTTTCTCATGTTTTAGCGACTGCTCGAAAATTACAGTTTTTTTTTGTCATGTGAAATGTGAAATGTGAAATGTGTCAGATATTACGAATAATAGGATAATTGTATTTAATATATGGTTTCCTTGCTAGGTCTACATAAAATAGTATAAAAATAGGGAGATGTGGTTTGATTAACAATGAGACATTTATCAACCAGAGTAAAATGAAGTGGTAGTAAGCAATTATAGGCCACCGTACGGCCTTGAACAATGAGAAAAACCCATACCGTATAGTCAGCTTTAAAAGGCCCCGACTTGAAAAGCAATAAGTCAAGTGTATTTGGTGTATAAAATAATTGAAAGGTGTACATGTCTAACTGACAGGTTTCATCTAACCTTTACCTTAATTTCATAGTTTATTGGACAATGTTTAGTTTTTGTGGTTTGGTCTATTTCTGAGATAATATAAGCAATAGGGCCACTATATTTGGTGTATGGAATGATTGTAAGGTGTGCATGTCCGACTGACAGGTTTCACCTGACCTTTACCTCATTTTCATGGTTCATTGGACAGTGATAATTTTTCGTGTTTTTGTCAGTTAATTAGATTCTATAAGCAATAGGCCAATTATATTTGGTGTATGGAATGATTGTAAGGTTTACATGTCTGTCTGGCAGGGTTCATATCCTCTTGATCTCATTTTCATGGTTCATTGATGATATTAAATTTATGTGATATATGTAGTAAAACCTTCATATTACAGACTTTTATTAGCATAAATTCAATCATAAATGAAGCAAGCGAGACATTTCATCGTGTGCACTCTTGTTATATTTTTATTGATTCATTCAACTCAAATTGTTATCATGCTTAATTGTTAGAAGCCCTTTTTGACCACATGAGAGAAAATCAAACACTTGTTAGGTCTACAGTTTTGCCCCCAAAAGTCGGTGACTAGGACTTTTTACATTATTCAAATGTGAGAAATTAGAAAAGTTTGCCAATATTTTATATTTCTTGCAAAACGTTTTGTTGATTATTGTTTGGTCGTTATCATCCTTTAAAATGTGTCATTTTCACCCCATCAAATTTACCCCTAACACTTATTTTAATGTGGACTGGTCATTGTTATTGAATCTTACGCAGTTCGATTGGATGAAGTTGTAATTGCTGTTTCTTAACCTGTTTACCTGCTGATTTTTTAGGTCGCCAAATGGCCTTTAACAATGAGCAAAACCCATAACGTAAAGTGAGCTTCTAAAGGTTTCGACATGACAAAATGTGAAACAATTCAAACGAAAAAACCAGCGGTGTCATTTATGATAAAACAGTAAACGCATAACAAATATGACGGAAAGCAACCAGCGACAACCACTGAATTTTTATCTCCTGACTTGGGGCATTTAAAGAATGTAACAGGGTTAAATATGTTAGTGAGCGCTCAACCCTTTCCTCAACTGGGACAATGGAGTAACAGAACAACATAAGAACAAATCATAAAAATCAGTTGGGAATTGCTTGATTCACCAGATTGGCACGAAGCACAAAAACAACTAGCATAAAGTTCTCAACTACCGTCTGTTATTAATAGTAATCCAGCTTATTTTACGGACATGTTTTGTTTTGTTTGTACAGTCTGGTTTAACAAGAGAAAGAATGGGAAAAAATATAGAAATTTTTCAAAATGCACGAGGAGACAGGAAAAGTGCACTTGGCATCAGTCTTAATCAGTAAAGTAAACACTACGCCATGATTTGGGGAGAAACATTTAATCAAATACTTACAGAAAGTATGACGCTTGGAAACTATTTTGTTGCTTTTGCTTAAAACATTGATAAAAAAAAACAAAAAGTATACACAATATATAATCATTTATTTATAAGTCGTCATTTCTCCAAACCCTACTTGCTACTAAATAAAGTACTTCAAAATTAATTATGATTAATAACATATCTCATGTAACTAGACAAACTTATCAAACCAGAATGGAGCTAACTTTTATACAAAAAAAAGGAGATAAATATTGCGATCCAATTATTGCTTTAAGTTAAAGTGCTTAATCGATCTAACTTGGAATTGATTTTATTACATAGCTAGTTAACAACGAACAAAATACAAAAGCTTTTATAAAATATAGAGAAGGAATTGACCTTTTAGTATGTAGACAATAGAAAATGACAAAAGGATTATGATGTACATGAAGTAAATACTTGCTTAGTACACGCATGCAGTTAAAACTATTAGAAATGAAAGAAAATGTTAGAATTATAAATAAAATAAGTAAATAGGATAGTTTTTGTCTCGCCTGACATAGGTGTTGCTTTTTTGGCGGCGTCAACATTTTTGTAAGTTTTCTGCTTGAGTCAGTCTGATAAGACTTACTATCAAATACTATCAGTACATATCAGTTTGACGACTATTTCGAAGCCCTTCGACTTTCAATTGATAAGCAATTTTCAATGTTTCTTAAATTTTCTGCTTAAGTTGGTTTGATCAGAACTACTTATGATAGACAACGATATTTTTTATACAGGTGGAAACCCAGTTGAAATTAAACAAAAGAAATGGAACTCTTTATTAGAGAAGGTAAAAAAGGTCAAGTTGGTAAATTTGAATTGTTTACATCAGTTTCTATGGCCTTAAAAAGTTTAATGAATGTGCATAATTTAGAATTTTATGCATCTTCTGAATGTGTTTTCACTTTAATTATGGTATGGAGCTTCGAGATATTTATAAATTTTTAAATTATAGACAAATTCTCACAAAACAGTCGATTGTGGTAGGTGCAAATACATGTGCATCTTTTTTATGCATAAGCATAAATTCCGCCAAAAAAAATTCCAAAGAAAAATAATAGATTGATCTTTCCCCCCGGCGACAGTTTTTTGGGAAAAATCCCCAAAATGGGCAATAATGTCATCTAAAAGAGAAAGTCGAGTACACCTTTTTGTGTTTAGGCGTGTTCGAGTTGACTATTCTGTCTTGAAAACGTATAAAAGAAAAATATTTGATACATCAACTCACTTCAGATTCTATTTTTTTTATTATATTTAGGCTATATGTTGATATAATAACATTAAAAATTAATAGTACTAAAAAATTAAATATATGGGTCAAGTGAAAGCCTTTCTTATGAGTCATTACAACAGAGTAGGTGTGTTCGAATAACAATTTTTTACAAAAAGTACTTAACGACAGACTTTACAAGTGTATCTTAAAAATGCAAAACTTCAAAAAAAAATTCATTTTCTGTGTGTGTTATCTAGGATAATTAGTCTTCAACCTCTGAAAATGTTTAGGCTGCCCTTCCACGAAATTTTTAATTAGAATTTTTAAAAATATTTTTGAACTTGAATCCTGACTGAAGAGTTGCATTAATTATCAGTTTGACGACTATTTTGAGGCCCTGTCCTCTATGTCATGGTCCATATGTCATGGTCCATGAACTTTGAATTAATTACCAATGTTGCTGTCCATCAGATTATCTTTTTCTGAATTGTCTGCCGGCAGGTGAGACACATCTCTGTGTCAACAGTTTTGTTCTATTAATTGAACAGCAGAATATCCCCGTCACATTTTAATGAATAGGCGAAGTCATGTGTATCAATATTTTGATAACTTTAATCGTGAACTCATATGTCAGTAATAGTTATACACCGAGGGATAGGTATATTTTACAAATGTAAAGTTGTTTTGCATATTCCCGTTAAATCCATGTGCTTATGTGGATCAGCAGGTCAAGGTTGAGTGTTACGTGTATTCTTATTACAATCAAAAAATACATCATGCTCCTGGTATACAGTTAATTGTCAATATGGACGGGTATAAGACGGACGACATTTTGTGGCAAGCGTTGGATTTGGTAGAAGAGACTAAAGATAAAGGCAATATTATAACCCAAAGTACTTACCTGTATCAGTTTAATAAAGGTAATCATAACTGTATTTTCTATCTTACGATTTTATCAAAAACAACCCCCCCCCCCCCTCTTCTCGAGAATAAACAAACATTCATATTCGAACATACTAAGGGATATGTGTATCTGCATTAGAAACCCGACTACCAGACACGCTCAACATACAATATTTAATATTGAGGAACTCCCTTTTTTTTGGGGGGGGGGGGAAATCAGGGGCTGATCAAGCCGGGGGTTCCCAACTCAAGAGAAAAAGGGGGGTCCAACCATTCAAATGCATTGATCTTTTAAATAAAAGTCGGGTCCAACCCGCGGAACCCCCAAACCCCGGATCGGCCACTGGGTAAGGGGGGGGGGGGGGGGGGTACGGGAGTTAGAATCCCCATTTTTTTTAAAGATCAATGCTTTAGAATAGAGACATATGGCTGGGATAAAAAAAATTACCTTCAAGCAAATTTAAGAGTATTTAAAGGATTATTTTTGAATTCCATATAGATGCTTAATTATTGGAATTTCCTAAAATGTGGTTTTTTTTTTAATATCATGAAACAATTTGTAGTGAACACTATTAGTTATTTCTTATGTTCATGCTATTTAAAAAATAATCAATTTCTATTGTTACGAATAACAATGGACTTTGTTTGCGGGATGTAGAAGCAGGGGTTTCCAGAAACCCCGCTCGTCACACCCTGTGGTCAAAATCCATTGTTATTCGTTACAATAGATCTATTCAATTTACACTTGTTTCAGAAATAGAAACTATGAAGTATAACAATAGAACTGGGGTGTAATGGTAGATCTTTTGTTGAATAAGTTGCTAAGGTGGGGTTGTTTACAGATTATTGTTTCCACTTCACTAACTACAGACTTTAAATCGTGGTTTAAAATTTCGTTATTATAATAGTTAGTTTTTAACAAAGTTGAAGCGTAAGGCGATATTGTCATGCCATATTTCTATATATGGCTCATTTTTTATTTCCTTTTATGAACTTTAAAGTATTTTACGGTGGTACTGTAGGGGCTCCTGAAGGTGCAAATTTTGACCAGATTGTTATTGTGTATATATTGTTGGACAAGGTTAACGAAAAAAAAATCTTGTGATCTTAAGTTGGATTTAATATTAAAGAAGTTCTTTATTTTCATTTCGACTTACACTAAAATAGGTTAACAAAATGTGTCTGAGATAACTTTATCGGTTGAATAATTGCATAAAAATCCGGAATTATAAATATTAGTCAAACTATCTTTTTTTAAATATCCCTTTATTGGGAAAAGGGTATTTAAAAATTCTTTTATAGTGTGTTTCTGATAGTACAAAGCATGAATCATTTCCCAAAAAGCTTTTTTTTTAACAGCTAATTGGTGTATTTATTGTCCACTATATATATATTATTCTGATACAATAGTATACAGAACACACAGAGACTTACATCATAATATTATAATGCATGTGATACATTTGATGAGGTAGCAGCAGATAAAATCAGAGGAGAAAATGATGTATAGGTCGAAGGTTGAGTTATTGTCAAGAGAACATTCAGGTTACTGGTCATTCTGTTAAGGCTGAACGGTACAGTTTTGACTGTGTGTTTTAATTTCATAATATTGTCATGATAGGCAAAGAGAGAGATTCATGTGCACGTACAAATGTTTAAACAAACCAACTCAGGTTATCTGGACCTTGTGTTTTTCGTTGTTTTATTTTTGTCTTTGTTTGTTAGTCTATTTTTTGCGGAGGAGTCAAGTGTGTCTGGTTGGTGTAGTCTGTTGAAATGTCCAGGAGTCAGGTGTGTCTGGTTGGTGTAGTCTGTTGTACTGTCCAGGAGTCAGGTGTGTCTGGTTGGTGTAGTCTGTTGTGCTGTCCAGGAGTCAGGTGTGTCTGGTTGGTGTAGTCTGTTGTACTGTCCAGGAGTCAGGTGTGTCTGGTTGGTGTAGTCTGTTGTACTGTCCAGGAGTCAGGTATGTCTGGTTGGTGTAGTCTGTTGTACTGTCCAGGAGTCAGGTGTGTCTGGTTGGTGTAGTCTGTTGTACTGTCCAGGAGTCAGGTGTGTCTGGTTGGTGTAGTCTGTTGTGCTGTCCAGGAGTCAGGTGTATCTGGTTGGTGTAGTCTGTTGTGCTGTCCAGAAGTCGGGTGTGTCTGGTTGGTGTAGTCTGTTGTACTGTCCAGGAGTCAGGTGTGTCTGGTTGGTGTAGTCTGTTGTACTGTCCAGGAGTCAGGTGTGTCTGGTTGGTGTAGTCTGTTGTACTGTCCAGGAGTCAGGTGTGTCTGGTTGGTGTAGTCTGTTGTACTGTCCAGGAGTCAGGTGTGTCTGGTTGGTGTAGTCTGTTGTGCTGTCCAGGAGTCAGGTGTGTCTGGTTGGTGTAGTCTGTTGAACTTTCCAGGAGTCAGGTGTGTCTGGTTGGTGTAGTCTGTTGTACTGTCTGTGTCTGGTTGGTGTAGTCTGTTGTACTGTCCAGGAGTCAGGTGTGTCTGGTTGGTGTAGTCTGTTGTGCTGTCCAGGAGTCAGGTGTGTCTGGTTGGTGTAGTCTGTTGTACTGTCCAGGAGTCAGGTGTGTCTGGTTGGTGTAGTCTGTTTTTGTGGCGGAGTCAGGTGTGTCTGGTTGGTGAAGTCTGTTGTACTGTCCTACAGTTTGGGGGACTTCTGGCAAATAAATATCCTTTATGTGTACTATTGCTATCTTGATACTTCATTTATATTTTTTTCGATATTTTCATTAGTCTTAACGTTTTATTCAATTTTAAAAACCTCGTCTCATACTTGAATTTCTTGAATAGAAAAATCATGCAAAAATCAATTTGAAATATAGTTTGACAATTTTATACTTGATAAGAATTCAATCATAAAGTTTGTTTTGGGTTAGAAAAAGTGAAGGCAATTACACAAATTAAAAGTAAAATTTAAAGTTATGGTAACGCATTTATAAGTTAATTGCATCATTTAATATCTAATTGTCAGCTTGATTGGCAAGACGATATTAAAAAGAACCAATTAAATCTTTGTGCCATTTTTGTGATTATTTATTTATATATCTTTATTCTGATAAACCTAGGCGCTTATCCTATGTCAGTATATGTGGAACACCGTATGGTAACCTTTTGGTCTAACATTGTAAATGGTTCTGATCAGAAATTGACAAATATTCTGTATAGATATATTTATAAACTCAACGAACATAGTGGATATACTTTTAAATGGTTGATTTGTATAAAAAATATCTTGAACAAATATGGATTTTCAAATATTTGTTAAATCAGAATAATTACAGTTTTAATCCAAAATGGTTAAAGTTGAGCATTAAACAGAGAATATTTGATCAATTTCAGCAGACTTGGAAATCAGAACTGGAAAACTCTCCAAAAGCATTATGTTATAAACTATTTAGAGAAAATTTGGAATTTGAAGTATATTTAGACTTATTACCTTATAAAGATAGAATAACTTTATGTAGGTTTAGAACTGGAAATCACCGGTTACCTATAGAAACCGGTAGATGTCTTGGAATTGTTAGACAGGAAAGGTACTGTGTACTTTGTAATTCTCGAGAGATAGGTGATGAATTTCACTATATTCTAAACTGTACAGCTCTAACAGAAAGTAGAAGAGCTTTTCTTAAACCTTACTATGTAAGCCGAGTAAATAATTTGAAATTCGGCAGTTTATTTGTTTCAAAAACTATTCGGGTATTGAAAAATTTGTGTAATTTAATCAGAATTATCAATACAGAAGTATGTTCTCCAGGTTGATCATCCATCTCTCATCTTGTTATGCTCGTTTTGTACAAACTTGTCATGCGCAGAATCTGTATGTAATTTCATGTCAAAATGTTTTTCTTTGTACCATTAACTTGGTTTTATAAGAAATAAAGAATCTATACAATGGTATACAGAAGTTACATGTAATAAATAGCACAGTTATAAATTAAAATAAAACATAATATGTACACTAATTACAAATCTAAATTGAATTTAGCCAGGATAACACACACATGAATTAATATGCCTTATAAATGTACATAGCTTTTTAAAATATGATCGTTTTGTCATATTCATAACTTCCTTAAATTTAATTTAAAGGGGCATTAGCTACGAGATATAAAAAAAAATATGATTTTGATTTTTTTTTTATTAAATCATTAATGATAGTGAAATAGTGAAAATTTTAATAATAATTCGCTTTTAGCAGCCAGTTTGGTTCATTTATGTCAAAATGGGCTAAGAAACATCGCTGATGAATTATTCACTTGTAAGTGAATAATTCGACCTCATTAAAACCGTATTTATGTGACCTTCTATTTAATCCATTAGCTAGAGATGGGTTACGCATGAACTAGGCCTGTTCAGCTATTAAAAGGAAAAGAATTTCAACATTGAAAGTGAAACAAGGGTAAACCATTTGGTTGACTGATTCGATCCACAAAAACTCACTCGTATACAGGTAAAAACGATGATTAACATATTTGTTGAACCTTTATAATGGAATCAAACAGGCCTAGAAAAATCCAATTGCACGTTTCGCTATCTATTTATATCTATATTTATGTTTATATCGGGTTACATGCCCGTCGGCAGTCTTCGGAGGTCACCTCAATGGTTAATTAGATGGCGTCTATGTAACAAAAAAATTGTTCCGGCGTGACATTTGTTCCGCCGGAACTTATTTCATAGGAAATATGTTCCACCGGAATTTATATCACAGAAAATTTATTCCCGGAATATATATTATAAGGAAATATGTTCCAGCACTGTAAAATTTGCTCCGGAACTATTTTTTTTACTAAATGTTAAATCAGTTCCGGGTGTTATATATTAACATGATGCATTAACTTTATATCAAGCAAAACGTTCTATAGTTGTACCTGACAAATTTAATACTCAACATTGAAGTCTTTAAACAACACGAAAACATTCAAAATAAGGTAAATCTTTTAGAAATTCAAATTAAGTCAGCATATATATTGTACGTAGATAATATGATTAAAAAACAAATGCAAAACTATGATTAACAACTGTGATAAATATTTAAACACAAAAGGTCTTTCCACATCAAAGAAGCTAGTTGCCTCAGACTGATGCGATAAATAAATGGTTTTGATCTGCTTTAAAGTGAACTAAAGGAGATAATGTGCTACTTCCGGTTAAGTGGATGTTACTTCCGGTCTCATATGATAGCTTCTTTCACACTGATTCCAAAAATATATAGTTTCTATATACTTTTGCCTGTAAACCCGGATATAATTGACCACTTCCGGTTTACAGAAAGTCACTTCTAGTCTTAAGTGATAAGTAAATGTATTTAAATTACAAAATATATGGATTCTGTGTACTTTTATATGAAAAAAGTGCAAAAATGGTTTCTTCCGGTTTTCTCAAGGTCACTTCCGGTTGTCATTTTTCAAGGTCATATGTCACCTAACCTTTTGTACAAGGTCATATGGCTTTATAATGAACTTAGTTGAAGTAATAATCAAATAACCTTATATTAAGACATTTCAGGGGCACTAACTCCTATAAGATGCCATTAAATTGTATCAGACCTAATGTAACATATCTTCATTACATAAAAGCAGACATTTTGCACTTGTTCTTTTATATGTATCTTTCAAAGTGTAGGAGAAAATGCTAAAACAATTAAAGGTAAACATTGAGAACTTGACCTTGACCTTTGACCTTGACCTCATTTTCTAAGTTAGGACCTAGGAGCCTCAAATAAAAAGATTCCAGGGTTATACGGTTAACGGTTGATGAGTTGAAAACACATACCGACAAATTTATTTTGTAAAGGTAGATAACTCCTATAAAATTTCATCGAATCGCTTCGATCCAAATTAGCCAAAAATTTCTGAGGATGTAACCAACAATTTGTAAAAAGAATTTTGTCGATATCTTTTTTTGTTACGAAGGAGATGCACACAGATGATAAACAGTGAATAGGGAGATAAGTCTAACAAAGAAAATGGTTCGGCTTAGCAGAGTGAAATTTAAAAGCGCATAAACTAGACGATACAATATGAGAAATATCAAAGCAACATATTGCGAAACAAACATTTATCGTAAGAACAAAATTTGGCGGGAAAAAAAAAAATAATAATCAGAACAAATACAATAGGTCTTTCCACAGATGGTTGGAAAGACCTAATTATCTGTGCAAAAAGTTCTCCCGGAATATATTTCCTGTGATATTTGTTCCACTGGAACTTTTTTTACAGGAACAAATTTTGGCTCACATCTACACTAAAATACACACGAAATCCGGATACATATTATCGAGTCCATGCATTGTTAATTCTTCATTTTAGACTTTTTTTTAGTTCGATATACGTTTAAGTAGGTTATAAATCAAATATGAGAGTTTGAGTCAATTCGGTGAACATGAATTTGACAGCTAATGCCCCTTTAAGAAACAAATTGGTAAAACTAAGAAAACCTGAATTTTTTAAGCACGTGGACAACAAATATTGTTAAACTATTGATTAGGTCAATTCAACAGTTGCCATTAGATTCTATTTACAATGAAAGAAATATTTTCGGAATTCTTCATTTTTACAAGGCCACCTTGTTCACATAAGTGCATGCGGCGTTGCCAGAGAAGTAAGTACGACATATATAATTCCCTTGTGGTTGTGGTTGTTATCTATTTCAGGTATGAAGAGATATGTTTGTATTGCACTGAAAAAAGTACATCAACAAGTGTAAATACAAATTCGTCAAATTGTGTTTGCCTAGCCTGAAATGCAATATCAAATTTTGATTCATTAGTTCTGTGATGACACACATGTTTCAAAAGACGACACCGAATTTACAATTAAATCAAATCTTGTCAATATATTATGTCACAGATTGAATGTAAAAGATATAGTATTTACACATCTTTATTATATTCAATTAACCATTACTTTTCGTAAATGTTCAGTTACAAATTACAACCAATTATTCTAAATATACAGACAATAAAGTTGTCTTCGTACAAACGTTGGGTTTCTGTCATACTTTTTGCTTTGTATTTACGTTGAATTGTTTCAGTTCATTTTTTTTTCCAGCTAGAATAATTTAAACAAATAAGACAGTTTATAATAACTAGAAAGAATTCATTTAAGTTAAATATTCACACGTTCAGAAGAATAAAAATTTGAAATCAGCAATGGTTTTCAATGAAATAATTTAATTGTCAAACTCAATGCAGATATTATATTATAGTTGAGAAAATTAATATTTAACTATCTCCTAATAAAGCAATCTAGCTCCACTTTTTCAACTTGTAATTAGATCTTTTTAAATGGATTTTAATCTGAATGGTGTGTGTTTAAAAACCTTTTACACACTGGTCTTTCAAGGTACCTAGACAATGTTCAAGGTACCTAGACAATGTTATATTTAAAGGGTAGTCAATCAATATTTCCATTATAATTTGTTGACAATTATTGATTTAAAAAACTTGTTCTGTATACCTTATGGAATTATTTTAAGCTCGGTTTCACGATTTCAATTACTAATTCTACCTTTAAGATGGATTTAAACAAATCGATTTTATATTTGTTTGAACATGCATGGCCAAATTAAAAACTCGCTCATGCATTACACAATAGGCTATGTCGACAATTCTGAAAAAACTAAAGTAAAATCCAGAGAAAAAAATATAAAGAGTACATCTACATCACCATAAAATCATGCTAAAACTGTTGATTAATCTTCTTTTGTAGAATAAATTTGTGAAGGAATTAATGTGACGCTTGAATTCAGAAAGATGTGGACTAAATGTGAAAGATTGAGCTTGTTTCAGAACCGTCTTATTATTTTTATTGTCATTGCCTTCATTACAATGCATTTGATGTTTTATCTAACCAATGAAAAGTTCAAGACTCAAGAAAGGAAAGGCTGGGAAAAAGTACAATACGACAAAAAGTTTGTATTGGTTACTGGTGGAGCAGGGTTCGTTGGACATCACGTTATAATGCGGCTGAAACAAGACAACGTTAATGTCATTGGAATAGACAATTTCAATGACTACTACAACGTTTCTCTTAAATATTTACGCGCAAATATATCCGGTGTTGTCCAGCCTGTCGATGTCTGCGACTTAAAGAAGATGACAGAAATTATTTCTACGAAAAAAATAACTCATGTGATACATTTAGCAGCTCAAGCTGGAGTGCGTTATTCATTAACAAATCCACAAGCATATGTCAAGTCAAACGTTGAATGTTTTGTGCAGTTACTAGAAACATTAAAAAACACTGGTATCCCACTCATATATGCATCTTCGTCTTCGGTTTATGGTAAAAATACTAACATACCATTTTCAGAAGACCATCCTGTTGTACAGCCAGCGTCGTTGTACGCAGCCACCAAACGCGAGAACGAATTACTTGCCCATGTGTATTGGAATTTGTATAAACAACGCTCAGTTGGATTACGATTCTTTACGGTTTATGGACCATTAGGAAGGCCAGATATGGCATATTTCTCATTCGTTAAGAATATTTTTAAGGGTTTACCTATTCCAGTTTTTAACTTTGGAAAGTTATCCAGAGATTTTACTTATATAGATGACATTGTTAACGGCATTATTAAGTGCATAGATGTTACATATAATTATGAAATTTTGAATTTGGGAAGAGGAGAACCCCAGAGTTTAATGCAGTTTATAAAAACTATTGAAGACATCGCTGGGAAAAAGGCCGTTTTAAATTTTAAAGAAATGGTGAAAGGAGATGTGTTAGTTACATACGCTGACGTTTCTAAAGCAAAAGCTTCTATTGGATATAACCCGAATGTATCGTTAAAAGATGGTTTAACACGTTTTATATCATGGTATAAGTTGTATTCGAACCAAAACAAATGACGCTTAAAAACATGAAAATCGTGATCGCAAGTAAAATGTCAAGGAAAAGTAAATGTAATATCATATATGTATTGTTGAAATTACTTTGCTTGTTTTGTTATATAATGTTCATGTATATATATGTAAATAAACATAAAACAGGTAAATGTTTTAATTGAATTAGCTCTTTCAGTTTTGGTCTATCCTTGCATGCAATATTTATGAATGTCTTGGGTATTTTTTCTTAACGTTTGTTGTACAATTCAAAATTTCGTAACGAACGGCGAAAATGATATCTGTTTTTCATTCACGGTGAAGGGATTTGCGTACAAGAACTTTACACTCTTACAAACTTAACAAAATTACTTTGAGGCCTGAACTAAAATGTACATGACCGAAATACGTTCCTTACAACTTATCTTGCAGCTTTTAATTCAAAAATTGTTAATCTTTGTTACACATTATCGAAATTGATGGTAATAAAGTCTTCCAAACAAAGTTAATTGTTTTATCAGATCTTAGTATTCTCAAAGATTTGTATCTCCTTTCTTGCATTTGAATTTCCAGCAACAGTTCTCGGAAACCGAAAGTCACGTATATTTTCAAGGTTCTACGCATGTGTTGAAAAGAAGAAGGGTTTTGTAACGAGAATGTTAACTGTGATGGAAAACATACAGCTTATTTAACTTATCATAAAACAAATGAACTAACGGAGATTCGATAGTAAAATGTACTGAACTATCAACTCCAAAAACAAACCAAAACGAACATTTAAAAACCCAAAAGGGTTCATATGATGAACACAAGTGGCCTCTTTTAAATTTGGTGTAGGTCAATGAGGAATTCAACATGATTATATAAGATCACACAAATGGACAAAAACATTTAAAATTATTAGCACTGATGAGAATCATAGCTTTAGACAGACACAATACAATGTTGCGATGTTAAACTAGTTTTGTTAATACTGAATCCTCCTTCTATCACCTTTATCTGTCTTTTAAAAAAAGGAAAGCAAAACGTGAACCTAAGACCGCTGACTGGTCACCAAAAGATTGCTACTGAATTTTTGTTTGCTTTTGAATTGAAATAATTCACTGTGAATAGAAGATAATGATGAAGTTAAACTACCTTTATTAAGAATATGTAATAGTGTGTACATTCTTGCACAAGTCAGTTGAAAGCAATGTTGGATAGGTGTGAATAGAAAAGTGTATATACAGCTACTATTTGAATATATATTTTAAAGCTCGACTGTTTCATTTATTACTTGGGATTGTACATCATTTTTTTTATAATGCTATTGCAAATTCCAGTTTCTACAAACCGGATGTATAATGCAAATTGTAAATAGAAAGCATACGCACTGATACTCTGGATAAGAATACGCATTTGCGTCATCACATATATTAATCTAATAGTTGAATTCGGATGCCAAACTACCTACCTCAAGTGTTTTGACTCCGGATTCATTGACATTTTATCCGGAATTTTTGTGAACGCAAACCGATAGTGAGCATGTGAACAGTGTGATGTATAATGTGAATAAATCAAAACGTGTAGGATAGCTGACCAACACAATGAATACAATTTTCAAAACCGTACAATAGTACAAATATTTAGATACTATAAGGTTGAACTAATAAAAGAAATAAAAAATTAAAAAAAATAATTAACATTATATTAGTAATTAAATTTTGTTATCATCATTGTAAAATATTAGTAACGTTTTTTGTGAGATGCAAGGATTTAAAATCCTTGTGAATTGAAACCATGCAAGTATTTTTTTCATTCACGACCGTTTAAAATTTATTTATTTAGCTAACTTTGGGTACGCATCCCTGCTCATTGGTGCTCATACGTTACATATAATTTTCATAAATGTATTGACTGTTCAAACGTGTGAGACATAATGCACGTATACATTACAATTATGATTATAGTCTATAATTATTAGGAATAAATTCAGTCTCAGTTTTACCTTAACAATGAATATTCTCTTAGTCTGGTAGTAGCTTTTAATGAAATCAGACATTTTTTTTACAGAAAAATCCTTTTGTTTGATTATCTTTCTGCTTTCCGACCACTGTGTTTCCAACCGTAGATAAATATTTTTAACCGAAATATCGTTTTCTTAATTTTCTTCATTCTTTCCGACATTTTCTCATGCTATGATTGAAATACTAAATATCAAATGATAAACGTTCAGAAATAATCAGTTTATTCTGGGTCATTGTATATCAATAAACTATTCCCAGGTTTATTAAATACAACACACACAACGCGTAGAGGGACCGTCTCAATGCATGAATTATATAATTGCTTTATCATTATACTTGATATTTAATAGACATTCACATTATTAAAAACATATATGTTTTGTCAAAAGGTAAATAGGTTCTAACATATAAATGATTTTTAAAATGCAACCTAGCCTTTATTGTTTTACTTTCAAATCTACAAGTGAACCGTTTGTCGGATTGTTGAAATATTCAATGTCACGTTGTAGCCTATCCATAGAGGGACCGTATCAAAGACATAAATAACTACCTTTATCATATACTTATAGAAAATAATGGTATAATTGTACCCCATGATAAAACTAATTTGTACGTATATTTATTCATTAAATTTGAAGAATTGCTTTAACCGTGTGATATGACTTTTGTTATCAACTGCTTCCGGTTTATATCAACTGCTTCCGGTTATTATCGCATGCTTTTCTGTAACGTGACATTTCGACGTCATTCGGCAAATCCGGAAAATACACCTCAATGGTACGTTGTTTTTTTTGTGTAAAACATAACAAAGTTGGATACAAAAATATTAGGAATCAGGAAAAATATATTATTAAAAAATGCATAACAAATATTACAACAAATGCATTTTTTCTAAGTTTTTAAAAATAGTTTTTGTTGTATGTCTTCTGCTGAAGTATATGATAAATAGAACATAACATGTCATTTTTCATATCAGACCCCTTATCAGCCCATGGTCAAAATCATCCCTCGAGCCTGTCGGCTCTCGGGCTGATATCATGACCTAGGGCTGATAAGGGGTCTGATATGAAAAATGCCATGTTATAATCTATATATATAAATGATGAAAATTTTTCGAGACGTTCCGAGAATCGTGATTCCGAGGATATCGAGTGGCTCATAGACACTTCCAAAACTCGCCAATATATAAACGTGAACCCCCTGAGCAATAATACGTATAGTAGAAAAATACTGTGGAAGTTATCTCAGAACCGTAAATATTACCGACCTCAAAATACACACTTCATGAAGAGTACTGACTAATAACTATATAACATTTGGTTTAAACAATATTTATTCAGATAAATCAACATTAAACGATATTATACAAATGAAATAATATTAAGGATTCAGAAACAAGCAATTTGCTTTTACAAATCTGTCTCCTTTTACAAAAAATAATACACTTATTGGACAATACATAAATATAAATACTGGCATGCTCTGTAATAAATATATCAATATGAAAATGAAATATATAACATTTAAAAAAATAAATGTCGCTAATAATATTTTGGAAAATTAATCATGTTCATTGAGTCGTGAAGTCAATGTCACGGCCATTCTTAGTTCTTAACATCACATATGTCTACATGTTGATGTATATCGTGGTGTTGTTACAAACGGATACCACACCTGCTAAATATAAAAAAACCTTGACCAACGAATTAAACAAACAAAAGGACAAACAAAAATGGACAATATTTTTTTTTGTTAAAAATATTATAATGAAGTAATTATAAAAATATTTCTCGCCATTTTTGTGACATTTTGTTTACTTAGTATGTTTTAACCTGAAAACGGGGATATTTCTTTCGACTATTAACGAGACAAGATATACCAACCGCGTGTTAATTTGAAAATAAATTGTTATATAATTTTAAAATGTAACAAAAAATGTTGAGTTACGTCATGTTAAAAAATGAACAACAAATAAAAACTAGCGTTTTCTGAGGAACTTCACGAGCATTCATTGTCCAACTATGACCGGGACTGAGTAGTAACGTGTTAGTCTGTTAGCAATAAATGTGGTCTTTTTGGTGCATTCTCTCGATTTAAATATCACACACAGGTATTATTAAGGAACAGATGTTGATCAACGCCATTACATCAAAATCTTACGAGAAAAAGTACTCGCAAGTCATGAACATTTCAGTATAACTTAACGATCAGTTTGAGCCGTAAGATTTTTTGTGTGAAAAGAACCACGCTGTATTCCAGGAAACGGCATATCGAGGAATGTATCCTTAATTTGAAAATAGACTAGCAAATTTCCACCAAATGAACCGTGGAGTGAAACAATGGACGCAATCTGAATTATAACTATCGAGGGACACGATGCATATTTGATGTTGTGTTCAAATGTACTTGTCTACAAGTCATTTATCTAGCGCGTTATCGTCTACGTGCATTTAAAATCAAGTTGTTTTCTTTCAAAAAAGAAAAACAATACGTGAACCTAAGATCGTTGGTCACCAAAAGATTGTTGCTGAATTTTTGTTTGCAACTGAAATAATTGACTGTGAATAGAAGAAGATAATGATGATGTTAAACTACCTTTATTACAACTATGTAATTGTGTGTACATTCTTGCACAAGTCAGTTGAAAGCAATGCTGGATAGTTGTGAATATAAAAGTGTATATATACAGCTACTATTTGAATATACATTTTAAAGCTCGGCTATTTTATCTATTACCTGGGAATATACATAATTTTTTCATAACCCTTTTGCAAATCCCAGTTTCTACATCATATCTTTATATTTTGTTTCCTGCATGGATGCCTTCAAATTCTCAACTCATTATTGAAGCTGTATGAACTCATGGTAGATGTTGTATAGATAAATTTAAAGTCCAATTTCCATTTGAAGTGGAACCCTGTGACATGCAGCTTATAAGAAGGTTTCGTTTATTTTCCTTAAGAGTAACACACCAGCTTCATTGGGCCCTCTTATATAGAGACTTCTTTTAGGGGACAACCATTTGATATTCTGGGGGGGGGGGGGGGGGGGGGGGGGGGGCAGGAGGATTTTGAAAATAAATAACTCACCCTTGGTAATCACAAAAAATAAATGGTTTGTTCTGTGGTAGTTCGAAAATAAATAACCTGACTTCCAATGTATTGAAAATGAATAACTCGGCAGGTCTTTAAGCCATTTTATAAATGCTATTCGACAGTATGAGGTGGCACCAGATTCTTCATAAAATTCCTCTTTTTTTCAAAAAAAATTCGGGAAACACTTCCCAAATCTTTTAATAATAAAAGTATAAATATTATTTAAATATACTTGAAATGTCTGAAAATGGGTTTCATTTAACTTGAGATATATTGGCTCAGGAACACTTACCTCACTTTTATTACAGGGCTGTAACTACATTGAGGCAAATGCCTTTATGTAGGAAATTTTAAAAACCAAAAGCTTGTCTTCATATCAAATTGTTTTCACAGCAAGTGTTTGCAAGAAGCAAGTTCTGTTCTCCCTTGGACGTAGCACCTGTTTTTTTCGGGATCAATGTTTCTTTAAATTTGTCTTTTGTTCATTGATTGCCCTTCTGTATTCTCTTAGTGTTGCATTCCTTTTGTGATTTAGTAATTTTGTTTTCAACTTGATCATGAGTTTTATTTTATTTAAGACTTTTTAGCTAATTTTACAACTTAACTACTTTAAATTGTATCCCAGTTAAGAGCTACATCAAGTTATAATTGAAATGTGTTATTAAAAATACTTGACATAGTTATATCACTGATAATCAGCCCCCTCCTAACTTAATTTGAATAAAACCCCATATAATTTACAGGTATAAAAGATTTAAATTCTGCATGCCGAAACAACAAAAACAAAAACAAAAACAAAAACAAAAAAAATCAGCAGCCACATACTTAACTATGTGAATTACATTTTACTTTATTCTTCATATTGGTCTTTTGATGTTGTCCATAAAAACTTAAATCTATACATTTTGCTTTAAGACCAAAATATTGTCAAAAATTATTAAAACAGAACTTGCGATTTCAGAATAAGAAAGGGTCTGGGGACGCCAGAAAGCACGATTTTGCATCATTTGTTCTATAGTTTCTTTGGGCCTTCAGCGGCTTCAAAACCCTTCAAAATTTTTTTGCCTCGCTGCGCTCGGCGTAAATATATTTGGCAATACTTTTAAAAGAGGCTAGTCACAGCCCAACTCTAATACCGTGTATTTATGCATACATGTATATGCAGTTTGGGATTCAGAAGATTCATTTCCGCAGAGGATGATGATTAATTCTGATTAAATGGTACATTAATGACTTGACTGTACATGTATTATTTATAATAAAAAATGAATTCAAAAATTGTATGTTTTCAAATATTATTAATATAGTTATCAAAATAAATAATCAGTCCCTTGTTTTAATGAAAATGAAAAATCTTGCTTCAACAGTGCAGAAAATAAATAATCTGTCCTCTTAGTTTACAAAAATAAATAACCGATCCAAAACAAATCCTCCTGCCCCCCCCTCCCCCCCCCCCCCCCCCCCCCCCCCCCCCCCAGAATATCAAATGGTCGTCTCCTTAGTCTAATAAAGCATATCAAATTTTAAGGATTTCTTGATTTTACTTAAATCAATGGAATTTAAGTAAATAGACTTAAATTCAGTTATCGCTGGGGCCACTGGCGGATTGGGTTTCAGATTTCAGATTCTGTTTTAGATTTACCTAACATGAGTGACGTTATATTCTGTGACGTAATTTAGTCCTTTACAGAATTTCATCGCAGCAAGCAAGCTGTTTAAATTTCGTAAGCGGTAAAATTGAAAAAAATGAAAAGTAGTATCTTGTAAATGGTAAAGTAGTGTTTGTATTGTATGGTTATAACCTGCCTCATCCTTCCAATGTTTATTAGAAGTAATCTTAGAAAGAATTCATTTCATCGATCGTCATTTTTTTAACCATATATTCCATCAGGAATTTCATCGCCACGTGGAGAGCACATGCAAAGACTGAAAGAGATTGGTCCCATTATTCGTTTTCATTTTTATAAATTATTTAATTTTTACAAATATTAGTAATTAGATGCATTATTGTCCTAAGATTTGCAGATTATAATAATGATTTCGTCATTGTATTTCTACATCAAATTAGATGCATGTATATAGTCTGCCCGATACTGATATTAAGGTACTAATATATATATATATATGACGGCTACTGTGATAGTCGAGTTTGGCATATTTTTACACCGTTATTGCTAGGATTTCAAACTCCTGTGGTCTAACAATTGTATTTGCGCTGTAACAGATCATGCAGGTTAGTAACGCGTCTTTAATAAACGTATTTACACTTTTGGTATTTAGCTGAATTTTGTCTCCGAATGACCTTAGATCTGTCTCCGAATAACCTTCTGACGTCAAACAACAATCCCTTTTTAATTATGACGTCAAATGTTTTAACAAATTTTACGGGAACTTGTGTGATTCAAAGTAATGGCGGACAAATTTGCATACAAGTGTAAATATGTCTCATATATGACGACTACTGTGATAGTCGAGTATGGCATATTTTTACACCGTTATTGCTAGGATTTCAAACTCCTGTGGCCTAACAATTGTATTTGCGCTGTAACAGATCATGCAGGTTAGTCACGTGTCTTTAATGTTTATGTGTTGTGGGGCAGGCGTTATCTGATGAACTCCCGAATTATAATTAAATTTTCCTTAAAATGGTATACATCGGTAATTGTGTATCTAGATCTTTCATAGCACATATACAGCAAATATTCCATGAAAGGATATGAACGTACAAAGGTGTAAAAGGGACGTACCCTTTGGGGCGAAAGGACCCAGGTTCGTAACCGGAAGTTCAATTTTCGATACAAATAAAAAAAAATCTTGGAAATCTTGCACATAGACCATGCCCGGAGTTAAGAAGCAGTAGCAAAAAATCGTCATGTCTAAATCTTAGCTTGCTGGTGGAGTTAAGCAAACATATATCATTTTCTGTATATATCCTGCTATAAATTTTGCGTGTACCTACACACTTGTTACTAAAAACTGTCAAGAGTGTCGAGTCTGTCACATCAGTCATCACAGTGACATGTATAGTTGCTACTACTCTCTAGCCTAGACTAGGTCGATATGGTATGAATAGTTCAGATAAATCACAAATTTAGTCATAATGTCATCAACAGGCCACAGCTTAAATTATTGTTGTAATAACTTAATTATATACAAATATTACACTATGTCACTATCAACTGACTATGGATTTAAGAATTAATAAATATATATATCATGTATATATACTAATTTTAAATTATTGTAACTATCTTCGACACAACTAGGAGTATACGTAATATTTTTATTGTTCTTGTTTCTTTGTACAGTCATTTGATTTTTTTATGTCAATGCTGTAGCATGGTGGAACTAATATTTACTTTTTGTTGAGTTGTAGCACAATGTTGGGAAGATCAGTTAGAAAGCGAAAAGTGCGACCTTGCTCTGCCACAGAACACCACCAGGGTTGTAACAGTTGGACCAGAGACATAGACAACAATGACACACCAGTTTTTACAAATGGGTCACCAGACTGAACTGGATTCATGACTCATCATGCCACTAACTCAACTACTTTAGGTCACATACATTTGTACATTGGATCATCATCAGACATCATTTATGCAAACCCCCAGAGCTCTGCATTAGTATGTTCCAGTTCACAGTTGATAATTTACCAGGTAATCATCATATTTACAAAAGCAGTATATTACTTTTAAGTTAAACCCCTACATGTACATGTGATTCTAACATATAACAAACATATGTATAAAGATTAAGGCAACTTTTATTTTTTTTTTCCAATCTAATGGTTTAGATTTAAAAGATTTGTGTAATGATTATATCTCAGTTTCTAAACTTAAATCCACAAAATATTGCTGAATGTGTTATTTTTACAATTTATAGGGGATGCCACATCATGCGTTAGAAATAAAAAACAATTCTTAAATATAAGGTTACAATTATATATTATTATAAATATATTACATGTGAAACTTTTAAATGTTGTTTTGTATATTATCATATGATTTGTGACATATGATTTGTAATGGAGAACACTATTGACTAATATAATATTATTTATCTTGATACATAATCTGAATATTACAAATCGATATGCATGTACTGCATGAATACAGATGTTGCAATAAAGTACCACAATTATAAAGGACAAAATTTATAGAAGTGTATATTTATTGATCACTATTTTAGGACAGACTGCAAATATTTCTGTTTGCCCAAACCCTACCAACCAGTCTCAGGTGTGTGGGAAATTTTCAATTTTTTTAATTTTATTTTTTTATATATTTAAGGGAAAATAGGGGCCAAAATGGTTTTATCTTGTAAACATTTTTAAAATGAGACTATTACAGAGTTTTGTGTAAATTGTCAGACGCAGATAAGCGAGGATATATACATGTATGTACATGTAATATTAGCACAAACTAGTACAATTTAAGTAATTATTTACAGCTTGTCTTGCAGTCTGCTCCAAACCAGTTAAAAATCTTTAGTATTTAGGTGTCGACAACAGCTTTAATTTATATATATACTAGAATTTATTGTAATCTTCATCCTGGAAGATTCTAGGAGTTGCTCAAATAGATGAGTATCTTACGCTGTACATTTAGGTGCCAAGCTTTGTTAATTTTAGGCTGGAAGCATTATGACAACAATTTCATTTGCATAAAACCATTGGCCCTACTGGTTGCTGGGCTACTGTTGAATCCAAATTATGGTTGATATTTATTAATGAAAATTATAGTACAGGTTGAATTTCAGTTAGCATGAACACTGGGACTAATTTGAAATGTTATGCTTTTAATTATGAGGGTACCTAGATGTTGTTTTTGTGTAACACAGGTCATCCTTTATAACTTGTTGGTTGTCCTAACAGGAGACATTTACCTTGTTTACTTTGCATAATCTAGGCCTTCTTATGATAATCCAAGTTTCAGGTCACCTAGACCTCAAATGGAAATAAGTTTTCATTTGGGCAACCTGTTTCAAACCCAAGACGAGACAGAGAGTGGTTGCTGCTGTTATACTAAATGTTTGTTTCTTCTTACATGGATTTAGACTCTAGTATACAGGTCCTCATAGTCATTCTTTAAAATTTGCATTTGCCTGAGTTGATCCAGTTCTTCTTGCCTTGTATTTATGGGCAGTTTTATTACATTATAAGAAATTCACTTCTACATAGACATCTTACACATTCAGGTATTTCCCATCCAATCTTTTATGGTAATATACTTTACAAAGTACAAAATGTCAGTTTACCTCAAAAGCTAACTAAACATTAGAGCAAACTTATAAAGAAGGAATACTGTTGCCTGCATAAAAAATGGCATATTTTGGCTTCAATATTGATTCACTTGCACAGTCTTTGCATCGGACAAAAACTCATTTATTCTTAAACCAGTTGCTGGTTGATACGGGTTATGTTCCTCTAATATATGTTATGATGATATGATACTAAACCCCCATTGGAGGGATGGTGTTAGATATTTCATATAATGAAGACATAATCTTTCGAACAGTTAAATTGAGGTCTGGAGCTGGCATGTCAGTCAGTAACTGTTAGTAGTCCATTGTTGATTTATGTAATGTCGTCATTTTTCAATTTTTGTTTTGTTTGTTTTGTTACCTATCCTGATATTGGACTCGGACTTCTTTAAACTGTGTGATTTTTACTGTGCGTATTGCTGTGTGTTTGTTTGTTCTGCATTTGGTTGAGATTTTAAATAACTTGTTTAACCCCTCCGCAATTAAGTACCTGTTCCAAGTCTGGAGCCTCTGGCCTATGTTAGCCTTGTATGAATTTTTATTATAGTTCATATATTTGGGAGTTTAGTATGACATTCATTATCACTGTTCTGGTACAAATTTTTCATTATGGCTGAAGCCATTTCTGGTTTTTAGGTGGATCGCTTCAGATGCTTGGTCCCAACTGCAGATGTTTATCCTGCTATAACCCTACGGGTTTTATTACTGTTATTTCAGACCTTTAGTAACCATTTAATTGTAAGTTCCACAGCACCCAGTACATACAGATGTATCAGAGAGGACAGTCTTTCTTTTTTCATGAGTTCAGATCTCTAATTGTTTTAATGAATACATTTCCTATCTCTCTCTATGAATTGTTAAGGTATTGCTTACTTGTACATTTTGTATCTCTCTCAACAAAAATTGTGACATTACTTTTACTAGGTTTGGATATTTTTTTAGGAAAATTTAACAGATGTGTAAAAAAAAAAAAAAAAAAAAAAAATTTGAGGTTTGTCAGTTTTTAAGAAAGTATTAAACACTCCAGGCCTTTACGTTTACCTTAACCAGAGTCATGCTGAAGTCTTAGCAAATATTTCCTTATCTTGTTGTTGGCTAAACTTGGTATGAATTCAGTGTGTTTGAAGCTGTCTTTTCTATTGTTTTTGAGGATTATTAAAGGGTCGGAGATCCAATGCTGACAACTTAAGACAGGGGTTACAGAAGAATTATTATTTTTCTCGATTAATTATGCTTTAAATTGTATTGGTATTACATATGTAACATATACTTCCATGTAGCTATTTGCTGTACAAGAATTGTAGGAGATCCTATTAGCTTTAATGTTTGGATAGTAGATTCCTCAATAGTAAGTATGTTTTTGTAGCAGACCGACATCCTCCAGATGGGGTTGACTTAGGTCTAGGCACGGAAATGAATCTTTGTGGTGGCATGATTGTCAAGCATGTTAAAAGTTAACTCAGAACATGAAACTATGAGGATCCACCATATTTCTTAATAAAACATGTAGCAGGTAATGACACAGGTAGTTCTAGAGTGGGATTTTTGCACAATGAGATGAAGAACATGATCAGATGGATTATGCGGTTCATCAATTCTTAAGTAAGTATGGTCTCAAATTTGACCAGGTTATTGCAAAGCATGGACTTGTGTTGCTATAGAATATACAACTATATTATTGTCTTTATAATTAGCTGTCAGGGTTGCTACATAAAATATTATGATTTTCGATCAGACCAGATATTTTTCAACTGGATGTTTTTCACTTGTCACCCTTAACATGCTTATGAAATAAATTGTTAAACATCTTGAATATATATTTGATGATATACTATAATATACTATATTTTATGGTATACAAATACAATCAACTATCTTATGGTTTGGTGTAGTTTTGGTTAGTTTTTTTTATCTGTGTAGGTAAATATGTTTTTGAACAGTTGTTCACAAAACATCATATAGATTATTTAACATATATATGTACCAAGTTGTACTTTGAATAAAAATATCTATCTATCTATCTGTAGTTATCTCATATCTGGTTCACAGCTTTGCAGCGAACCGCCCTTTTTATGGCGGTTGACAGAGTCTCTGTTTTCCTCCGTCAATGTGGCAGAATTCGCTGCATAGAATCTTAATGTTAACTATGAAATTTTAGGTTTTTGGATAATACAGACTACACTTGTGTATCCCACGGTGTTTTCTAAATTTAAAGCACCAGTGTATCCCACGGCGCATCTTTACATTTTCATATATATCTATCTATCTACATTTTGCAGCAAGGTTGCCATATTATCTTCGGGTAACCAACCATATATCTATCTACATATACATATACATCTATCTATCTATATATATATATATATATCATATGAATCTATATTATGAATAAAAGCTGTGGCCAGATATCGCCAAACCATATATGTATTTTGTTTCAATGGCACCATCTGAGATAATGGAATTTAAGTAAATAGACTTAAATTCAGTTATCGCTGGGGCCACTGACGGATTGTGTTTCATGTTTTAGATTTACCTAACATGAGTGACGTTATATTCTGTGACGTAATTTAGTCCTTTACAGAATTTCATCGCAGCAAGCAAGCTGTTTAAATTTCGTAAGCGGTAAAATTGAAAACCCGCCCTCCCACTCCTTTTTTTGTACGAGATACTGCTCTTTTGTATTTATTTTTCAGGTTTTTGTCGATGACAGTGGTAATACAGATTTGACTGATGATGTTAACTTGTTTGCGGTTGAGAAAAGTGACTTTTATTTGAACTTTGAGCATCATTAATAGATTCCCAGTAATGGCAGAATTCGCTGCATAGAATCTTAATGTTAACTATGAAATTTTAGGTTTTTGGATAATACAGACTACACTTGTGTATCTCACGGTGTTTTCTAAATTTAAAGCACCAGTGTATCCCACGGTGCATCTTTACATTTTCATATATATCTATCTATCTATCTGCTTTTTGCAGCAAGGTTGCCATATTATCTTCGGGTAACCAACCATATATCTATCTACATATACATATACATCTATCTATCTATCTATATATATATATATATATATCATATGAATCTATATTATGAATAAAAGCTGTGGCCAGATATCGCCAAACCATATATGTATTTTGTTTTAATGGCACCATCTGAGATAATTCAAATATTCTACAGAGAAACTTGGTTTTGAAGAATATCTTCTTTATGAAGTTTCATGAATACCTGAACATACTCTCAAAAAGAAACAATTTATATAAAAGATATTTAGATATAAAATTCGTAAGGGTTCCCCGGAACCCGGTGTCTCGCCTACTTTTGTTGTTAATCGCAGGCTCAACAAAAATGAAATGAGGAAAAAATTTAATAAAAATATTCCTCTTTTAAAATTTCTTAATTGTAAGAAGCTTCTGTCCAAGTTTGGTAAAAATCCAGGATAGTTTATGAATCTAATAAAAGTTTTAAAAAATTTAACTGCAGACTGTATGTAATGTTAACCGGAAGAAAAACTAAGTCCATTTAAAAGTAAAATACGGAAAAACAGGAATTTTTTTTTTAAATTTACTTCTGGATACTATCTTATGATCATAAACAAACTTCTGTCCAAGTTTGGTAGAAATCCAGGATAGTTTGAGAAAGTTATTAAAATTTTAAAAACTTTAACCACAGAGTGAATGTAATGTTTCCTGGCAGAAAAACTAAGTCCATTTATAAGTAAAATACAGAAAAACAGGAATTTTTTTTTTTTAATTTACTTCTGGATACTATCTTATGATCATAAACAAGCTTCTGTCCAAGTTTGGTAGAAATCCAGGATAGTTTGAGAAAGTTATTAAAATTTTAAAAACTTTAACCACAGAGTGAATGTAATGTTTCCTGGCAGAAAAACTAAGTCCATTTATAAGTAAAATACGGAAAAACAGAATTTTTTTTTTACAAAATTTACTTCTGGATACTATCTTATGATCATAAACAAGCTTCTGTCCAAGTTTGGTAGAAATCCAGAATAGTTTAAGAAAGTTATTAAAATTTCAAAAACTTTAACCACAGAGTGAATATTTGTGGACGCCGCCGACGACAACGACGACGCCGACGGAATGTAGGATCGCTATGACTCGCTTTTTCGACAAAAGTCGAAGGCTCGACAAAAACGATACCAGGATTAAAATGTTGTACGCCAGACGCGAATTAAGTCTACAAAGAATCATCAGTGACTCTCGAATAAAAAAAGTTAAAAAGGCAAAGTTAAGTAATCTATTCTTTGGGTGTAAAATCCTGGGCATTTCGAAATTGTCACAGTTAATAATAGGACAGTGACTCAAAAAAGAAAAACATAAGAGAAACAGCTAGAGGTCAGAATACCGTAAGTTACATGATGACCGTGCTTGAAAATCACATGTTAATCTCTTACTGCCGTGTCTTGAATTTAAATAAGAAAAGCGAAAATTCTCATTCACGAGTGAAATTAATATTTATGCATGCATGCACGTGGTATTTTTGTCCAAGAATAGTAAATAGAAAGCATACGCATTGCTACTCTGGATAAGAATACGCATTTGCGTCATCGCATATATTAACATCATAGTTGAATTCGGATGTCAAACTACCTACCTCAAGTGTTTTGACTACGGATTCATTGAAATTTAATCCGGAACTTTTGTGATAGTGGGCATGTGAACAGGATGATGTATAATGTGAATGAATCAAGAAGTGTAGGATAGCTGGTCAACACAATGAAAACAATTTTCAAAACTGTACCATAGTACAAATATTTAGATGCTATAAGGTTGAACTATTAAAACAAACAAACAAAAAATGAATTGAAATTGTATAATAAACATACATTCCTGCTAGTGAACTTTTTCCGAAAATTTAGAATATAATATCAATAAACGCAAACGTCGAGTATTTAGTGATGGACATTGTATTTCAAATGAATCTCTTTTTAAAGTCTAAAATTCGATTATATGAATATATTGCTATACAAAATATAAGCAGAGACTTATAAATCCATTCTTAAACAGTATAAAACAATTAACATCATGATAGTTATTAATTTTGTTATAATTGTTGTAAAATAATAATTACGTTTTTTGTGAGATGCAAGGATTTAAAATGTGTGTGATTTGAAAAGTATTTTTCATTCACGACCGTTTAAAATTTAGATATTTAGCTTACTTTGGGTACGCATCCCTGCTCATTGGTGCTCATACATCACATATAATTTTCATAAATGTAATAACTGTTCAAATCTGTGAGACATGATAATGCACGTATAAATTACAATTTTAATTATATTCTATTAAGAATAAGTTCAGTCTCAGTTTAAACTTAACAATGAATATTCTCTTAGTCAGGTAGTATCTATTAATGAAATTAGAATTTTTTTTTACAGAAAAATCTTATTGTTTGATTATCTTTCTGCTTTCCGACCACTGTGTTTCCGAACTAAGATAAATATTTTAAACAGAAAAATCGTTTTTAAAATTTTCTTTTTGCTTTCCGACATATTCTCATGCTATGATCTAAATACACAATATCAAATGATAAACGTTCAGAAATAATTAGTATATTCTGGGTCATTATCTATCAGTAAACTATTTCCAGGTTTATTGTCACAATGCACGACAACACGCTGTTTTAATACACAACACACAACACGTAAAGGGACCGTCTCAAAGCATAAATTATATAATTGCGTTATCATTATACTTGATATTTAATAAACATTCACATTATTAAAAACACATATGTTTTGTCAAAAGGCAAATAGGTTCTAACATATAAATGATTTTTAAATGCAACCTAGTCTTTATTGTTTTACTTTCCAATCTACAAATGAACTTTGATTGTTGAAATATACAATGTAACGTGGTAGCCTATCCACAGAGGGACCGTATCAAAGACATAGATAACTAACTGTATAAATGATCGAAAATTGTCGAGACGTTCCGAGAATCTTGATTCCGAGGTGTATCGAGTGGCCCATAGACACTTCCAAAACTCGCCAATATATAAGCGTGAACCCCTCCTTTAATAATAAGAATGTTTATCAAATATCAAGTATAATGATAACGCAATTATATAATTCATGCTTTGAGACGGTCCATCAACGCGTTGTGTGTGTTGTATTTAATAAACCTTGGAATAGTTTATTGATATACAATCACCAAGAATAAACTGATTATTTCTGAACGTTTATAATTTGATACTTAGTATTTCAATCATAGCATGAGAAAATGTCGGAAAGAATGAAGAAAATTAAGAAAACGATATTTCTGTTAAAAATATTTATCTAAGGTCGGAAACACAGTGGTCGGAAAGCAGAAAGATAATCAAACAAAAGGATTTTTCTGTAAAAAAAATATCTAATTTCATTAATAGATACTACCAGACTAAGAGAATATTCATTGTTAAAGTAAAACTGAGATTTTAAATCCTTGCATCTCACAAAAAACGTAATTAATATTTTACAATAATCATATCAAAATTTAATTACTATCATAATGTTAATTATTTTTTTTTCTTTTATTAGTTCAACCTTATAGCATCTGAATGTTTGTACAATGGTACGGTTTTGAAAATTGTATTCATTGTGTTGGTCAGCCATCCTACACGTTTTCAATCATTCACATTATACATCACCCTGTTCACACGCACACTATCGGTTTGCGTTCACAACAATTCCGGATAAAATGTCAATGAATCCGTAGTCAAAACACTTGAGGTAGGTAGTTTGACATCCGAATTCAACTATTAGATTAGTATATGTGATGACGCAAATGCGTATTCTTATCCAGAGTATCAGTACGTATGCTTTCTATTTACTATTTCATGCGCAAAAATACCACGTTCATGCATAAATATTAATTTCACTCGCGAATGCGAATTTTCGCTTTTCTTATTTAAATTCAGGGCACGGCAATAAGAGCTTGCCATGTGACTTTCAAGCACGGTCATCATTGCTTACGGTATTCTGACCTCTAGCTATTTCTTTTTTGTTTTCTTTTTTCAGTCACTGTTCTTTTATAAACTTTGACATTTTCGAAATGCCAAGGATTTTCTACCCAAGGAATAGAGATTACTTAACTTCGTACTTTAGTTGGCCTTTTTAACTATTTTTATTCGAGCGTCACTGATGATTCTTTGTAGACTTAACTCGCGTCTGGTATTTTTTTTTTTTATATCTACATGTCTTTTATATGAATTGGTTCTTTTGAGAGTATGTTCAGGTATTCATAAAACTTCTGAAAATAAGATATTCTTCAAAACCAAGTTTCCCTGTAAAATATTTGGATTGATTTAAGTAAAATCAGGAAATCCTTAAAATTTTAGATGTTTTATGAGACCAAAATAAGTCTCTGTATAAGAGGTCCAAATGAAGCTGGTGTGTTACTCTCAAGAAAAATAAACGAAACCTTCTTATAAGTTGTATGCCACAGGGTTTAACTTCACCACGTGCACTTCACATTGAAAATGGACTTTAAAGTTATCTGTACAACATCTATCATGAGTACAGACAACTTCAATAACGAGTTGAGAATATGAAGGCATCCATTCAGGAAACAAAATATAAAGATGTGATAGATAAAATAAATGCATCCAGATTATAAAGCAAACTGAGTGCTTAAATTTATATTGCGATTGGTTTGTGCAATTTGCATTATACATCCAGTTTGTAGAAACTGGAATTTGCAGTAACATTATAAAAAAAAATGATGTACTATCCCAAGTAATAAATGAAATAGTCGAGCATCAAAATGTATATTCAAATAGTAGCTGTATATACACGTTTCTATTCACACCTATCCAACATTGCTTTCAACTGACTTGTGCAAGAATGTACACTCTATTACATATTATTAATAAAGGTAGTTTAACTTCATCATTATCTTTTTCTATTCACAGTCAATTATTTCATTTCAAAATCAAACAAAAATTCAGCAACAATCTTTTGGTGACCAGTCAGCGGTCTTTGGTTCACGTATTGCTTTTCTTTTTTAAGAAAGCAACTTGTTTTATCTCTTTGTTGTTGTTGTTGTTGTTGTAATGTGTTTTGTACCCATCTGATGAATCAACCTCTTTCCAACTGATTTTTGCATTTTTTTTGGCCCAGCCACAAAG